GGTGGGTTAATTAAAGAAAACTACAGGGGTCTCGGTGAAATGTGTCTGTCTTATATGGTTTTCCCTTTTTCTTTTTAGTATAAATCGGCTAAAAATTTGAAAATTCATAATAAATCATAGAAAAATCTTAAAAATGTTAAACTAGTTTTGTTAGTCTTCACATGACTAGATCTATGCAGTAAATACATAATATGACATGTTTTAGTACAAAAGTTTTGTTATAGATGTTTGCCTATGCTTTTTTAATGCTAAATTCATATCTATTGTTGTATTACTCCAATTGCTATAATTTTTTTATTGTAAATTAGTATTGATGTGTGTATTCTTTGGTAAAAATGTCATGTCCATTGCATGCATATTTACTGAGTTATTGATTTATCATGTGTCACATGCTTTTATTACCATTAAGTCTTAATTAAATGCTAGTAAATAATCTACTTATCTAGAAATTATGAAATTCATACAGTAGTTTTGTTTAGTTAATATATGCCTCCCATAAAATTTTCACCTCCAAAATAGATGTTTTGTGTGCCACCTTTTTATTCCTTGGTTATAATTATTTAAGCTTTTATATATGTAGGTGTTTAGATTAGGGTTAATATAGTTTGTCTATACTACTTGTTTACATGATGACTAGGCTAGAAGTGTGCTTGGCATGTTTTGATAATCTTTCACTTGTATGTTTAAAATGCAAATGGTTGTTTTGCTCACTTGTGTGATAATAGTAACTCGTAAGTAAGTCGCCAGGAGAGGATGAGAGTCGAACCTCCAACGTTTAGTTACCCTTCACCGTGATGATGTGTTGCTTGTCTTGTAGTGTTTGTACATGTCCTTGCTATGCTTGTTTGACTGAAGCATGCATTGCATCTATGCATATCATTTAGGTGTGTTGGTGGTTGATGGATCGATTGATGGCCTGTGGAGTTGAACCAGAAGCCGGTGTGATGTGACCACATCTAGAAGATAGAGATGGTTAATCATGTCCCAAAGATGGAGCCAACTAACTTATTGTTAATAAGTTACCCAAGCAAGCCCCGGTACATAATCCCTATTTTTAAGCACATATTATTATGTTGTTGTTCATTAAGTTGCAGGAGTTGCTTGAAACCCGCCTGCATAAATATTCTATCCTATGAGTCCTACTAGTATAACTGGAATCACATAGTATGCCATGCTATAGGACCTATGGTAGAAGTCTTGTGATGGACTGTCACTCGCGAGAGATAGGTCATGGCTATTCTGTTACTACTATCGCATGGACTTGAGGTGCTGGATAATAATTGGAGACCGGGTGGGATCGTGGACTTTGGCTTGGATGTGGTTAGTTATAGCAATAGAGCGAGGCTCTGGTTACATTAGTCCCGCCTGTGTCGATTAAGGACTTTACCATTGGTAGCGTTGTGGCAAGTTTGAAGGTACCAAACACATAATAGGGACCTGAGTTATAGTTGATCGTGAAGCTAAGTACTGTCTTACAACTAAGGTGCTCTTTACCGCGTGCTCTGAATCTCCCGAGTTAACCCCCAGGGCTCTGACTCAATCTCCTCCTCGACAATAGCGAACATGAATGCCGGCTCCATCTCCACACAAGCGTGATGCGCCTCCTCCTCTTTCTTGTCTCCTGGGCAACGATTGGCATAATGGCCATACTTCTTGCATTTGAAACACTGAATGTGGCTTTTATCTTTCTTGCCACCTCCAGCATTCTCCTTGCCTTGCCCATTACCATGTCCGCCTTGGCCTCTTCCCCGGCCACAACCTCTACCACGCCCAGCCTCCATGACTTGCTCCTCCTCGATGAGTCACCATCGACCTTCTTCTTCTTCCTCCCACTCTAACTGAGTGAGGAGTAACTGCCCGCCTTCAATCTTTGAGTTCCCGGCTCCCCACCGAGTTCTCTCCTCGTACGCCTTCAAACGCCCAACCGCCTATTCAAACGCCAAGGTCTTGAGATCATAGAACTGCTCAATCCTAGCAACAATGTTGATGAACCTCTCCGGCATGTTGTCGAATAGTTTCTTCACCATGGCCGCGTCATCCAACGTGCTGCCCAAATTGTTGTATCTCACTAACATCCCGTTAGCTTGTCGGCATACTGATCAAGCGAATTCGCTCTTGAGCATCTGCAACCATGCCTCCTTGACATGCTTAGAGTAGACAAACCTTGACTTCAGGCAGTCCCAAACTTCCTTGCATGTCTTCTTCGCCACCTGCATCAGCAGATCATCCGGCAGGCACTACAACTGGTGCGCCCGCGCCTTCTTGTCCTTGTCGGACTGAGCTACCAACTACGTCTCTCGACGACCCCTCGGTGGTTCCACCACCTCCCAGACACCTTGATCCTCCATGATTGCTTGGACTCGGATGCTCCAACTTGTGTAGTTGGTGGCCATCAGTTGCGGATAGGCGTACTTTTCCTTGACCGCCAACACCGCCGCCGCCCGCACCGCCGCTTCCCGCACTCCGATCACCCATCGTGGAAGACACAACACAACGCACGCGACACTTTGGCTTGTGATTCGGCTTTGATACCATATGTTAGTCACATATCGATCACAATCACCAAATATCAGTGGCTAGATGAAGAACACACGCAAGAACACAGGATATGTGACCCTAAACCCTAGAACACGGAGGTCAAAGCTATTTCACTCAGAGTAGTAGAGGTTACAATGACACAACATACATCTTAGAGGGTAATACACAAGCTTAACTAGCTAACACACACCCTCAGACTCGATGCTTAAAACAAGATACAACCATCGTTGTTGTCCATGCATGACGTTGCCCATGTTCCCTAAGCACGGTCACCAATTGCTGGTCACCTCCAACTACACTCCTTTTGAATTAGGGTTTCTCGCTTCTTCTCTAGCTTCAGTTGACAGCTCCATCCACCAGTGATTATGCCAACAATGTCAAGGCCGCGTGCCATGCACGTGAGCAGTAGGTGGACAAGCTCATTGCCAACCTTACCAGAGCGGCCCGGACCTAGGGCCGTTGGCGCTGAAAGAGCACATCTTTGGCCTCGCCGACGGCATCATCGATGCGTTGTGGCGTTCGGGAACATCTATCATATACAAAGTGGTTCGCGCACAGGGAGCGGCGGTTCTAGCTCATGGTGGAAGAGGGCATGGACTTGCTGGCCACCTTCTTCGCCGAGGACTTCTTCCCCAACGCCACCGGCCGCCTCGTGGACCGCCTCACGAGCCTCGCTGCCCACCATTTGCGCCTCGATGCCTTCTGTGAGATGGTCGTCGACCAGCACATGGACCCGGCGTGGCCCAAGCCCGTTGACGCCCTCATCAACTTGTGCAAGGAGCACCGCGGCACGTTCCGCTTTAGCAAGGAGCACATCAAGTCCATCATCCTCGATGCCTTCATTGCCGACATCGACATAGTGCAGTGATGTTGTTGTGGGCGATGTTGGAGACGATGTCGCCTGCATCGTCAGGGTGTGCCGGTACGACGTGCCGTCCAAAAGACGCGGGTGTTGGTCAACTTGTGGGCCATCGGCAGGGGACCCGATGAGCTGGGTGACCGCCGAGGAGTTCAACCTAGAGCGGTTCAAGGGCGACGGAGTCAACTACGGCCATGCACACTTCGAGCTGCTGCCGTTCGGTGCGCCGCCGACGGATCTGCCCGGGGGCGCCATTCTATTTTTTTTGAAAAGCCATCGACAAGAGCATGCCAGGCATATATTAATAGAGAAGGATCGGAGCCAAATACAATCAAAAGAAAAGAAAAGAAAAAACCTAACACTCACAAAGGAGACAACAAGACCACCACCAGAATAAAACAACACCAACAAAACCACCAAAGCAACGACCACCAAATGCCACCCTGAATGCCACAAGAAGCAAGCTTCGTAGCAGGAAAAGGACAGAGGAGCTTTCCATAACGAGTCCTTCAAGGAGGGGAACGACACCCACAGGTGCCGCAAACGCTGTTTAGAGAACCAAGGTTTTTCAACCCAAACTCTTGAAGGGGTAGAAGCATCACTGCTATGCCTCAACATGGGGAATACCGCCAAAGGCATCACCATTGCCAGCCACAGCTGAAGCCTAGGCAGGGCTTTCGCCCGAGAACCCCAAACCCCCTAGACCCAAATCCTGCCACGACGTGGAACCTCGCAGCTGCGCCGAACCGAAGTAAACCGCCACCAGCAGGAGATCGCTGAGGCACCGATGAGGTCACAGGCCTGCGTGACCTATCGCCGCCCCGCCAGCCTGTAAAGACCGCCTCCATCCTGCAAGACACCGGCCACCACGCGAAGCCCCCACTTGCTCCTGCACCAAGCCAAGCTAGCCGCCAGTGGTGCTGCACCTTGCTGCCCATAAAGCTTCTAGAGAGAGCAACGAGCATTCCTGCCCAGATCGTCATCCGCAATGAACTGCCTTCTGTTGGTTGTCGCAGCAGCTGTAAGCCCGCCACATACATGCGTGGCACGTCACAGCCACGTCGGTCGACACAGACCGCAGCCAACTGAACAGTCACTAGCCCAAAGAAGATCGTCCAAGAGGAGACCCGCCACAATCACTGCCCACTTGCAACAGACAGCTCCACCGAACCCCATCCATCAAACTCCTAAGATTGGTAGAAGTCAAGTTGTTGCCACCAACGTAACCGCTAAGCCCCACCAACAGTAGCAGCCATCATGGCCACACCAAACTGACCACCGCTAAGCGGGACCACTCGCCATGGACACGACACCGAGAGGCCGCCATAGACACACTGTCACTGCTGCATCAAAAACAGCGCTGGTCACCGAGGACCGCTGCCAGCTTGGTCGACACCGGCCACCGCGAGATGCTCCATGAAGGAATGAGGCAACCCAACGGAGCAGCTTCGCAGAGCCTCACGCGGCCACCGTCACCATGCGGAGAAAGCTGCCACAAAGCTGCACCACCACAACCTACGGGCCAGGGCGCCGCCGCACCTGCCACGCGCGCACGCCGCACCACCCACCACCGCAGACACCTCCGGCGAACCGACGCACCGCCATGGACGGGAGAGTGGCGAAGCCGAGCCACAGTAGCAACGAGGGCCGTCCCTCGGGCACCCTCGGGCAGCCTGCGCGGCCCGGCGCGGGACCGGTCACGGCGCCGTGCGTCAGCACCGCGGAGCAGCTGAGCAGCAGGATGGCGTGCGCGCCGGCACGACATCCGAGCGCTCACCGACCGCAGGAAGGCGTTGAGCGTGGATGTAGTCACGAGCCCCGCCCATCAACCGCAAGGGCGGGGCAACGAGCAGCCCATGGCAGCCACCACCACCCCGCACAGCCACCAGGCCCGGATCCACCGCGCCGGATCTACCACCTCCGGCATGGATGGGGTCGCCGCCGCCGTCGCCGCGATTGCACCCAAACGAACGGGAAGAGACGGAGAGCCCCGCCGCCACCTTCATCACGACCTCAGGGGAACTGCCGGAGGGCTCTGGTGGCAGCGAGGATGAGGGCCGCGAGGAGGGAGGTGGGTGGTGGCTCAGGCGTGCTCCGCCCGTGTCGCCCTGGGCGAGCGACGCGGGGGACGGGGTTTATCACAGATTTACTGGGGGCCATTCTAGAACCAACGGGATTTACTCGCGGTTAGTTTCGGTTCAGAAATGAATCGGTGTCGAATAAGATAACAAACCGTGTAGTATTCGCTGAAAATCGCGGCAAAAACAAGCGAAGTCCATCGATATAACCGTAAGCACTTCCCGCGCCCTCCGTCCGACCTCTGCCGCCAACGTGTGCTTTCTCGGCTTCACGCACGCAGGTAAGCCTCCACATCCCCCACCCCCAGAGTCCACCCCCAGTGTCCATCGTCGTCGATCCATCGGCATCAACGTCTGGCTTCCAACGAAGATCCTAGCCCCACCGACAATAAGAGCTCCATCGACCTCCTGCGCCGCCTCCACGCCGGAGGCGATGACGTCCACTTCGTCGCGTCGACGTCTGCGCCGCTCCTCGCGAGGTTCTCGTCGCTGATCTGGAGCCGTGCCGGGAACCGGTCTCGAAGACGACGGCTACAGCAGGATCTGGTACTTCTACCACGCCAAGAAGTTCACGAACACCAGAGGCAAGCTCAGCGGGTACAGGCAGCGCGCGGTCACCGGCGGCGGCGGCACGTGCTGGCACTCGGAGATAAGGCGCAAGGACGTCCAGGGATCCGGTGGCGGCACGTTCTGCACCTTCTCCTACGGCCGCAAGACGGAGCCCTCCTCTCGATCGATCGCCAGAATGGGGTGGTGCATGGTGGAATACGACTTCGTCGCCGCCGACAAGAAACAAGACGAAGCCGCCGCCGACAGCAGCAACTACGTGCTCTGCAAGGTCTACCGCTCGCCTCGCGTGAAAGGAAATTTGGCGTCGGCGTCCTCCTCTACCAAGAAGTCCTCGTCCAAGCAGACGGCCAAGAAGAGGAAGGCCGGCGGCAGTGACCACCCCAAGGCGCCGCCGGCCAAGTCGATCCAGCAACAAGAACAGGTGCAGCAGGATACTACCGCCTGCTATCAGCCACAAGGCGTGGAGTCGGAGCACGGCGGCGACTTCAACGTCAACATCGAGGACATAAACTTCTACGTCGACGAGAGCATGCTGCGAGACGAGCTGGAGCAGGGACTGCAGCAGCCAATCGCCGAGCCGGAGACTGCCGTGCAACGACAGCGAGGCGCACAGTCTGAGCACGAAGAGTTCACCGTGGAGTGGTTATTACGAGGTGAGCCGCAGCAGCCGATCATCGAGCCGCCGCCGGGGCATGGCGGCGAGGTCATCCAGATGCCGTGCGGTCCGGTGGTGCCCGTGGTGGCGGAAGCCATCGTCGAGGATATGCTCGGGCTCGGCCCGGAGACAGTATACGGTCAGTGGAGCGATGGCATGACAACAGCAAGTATACCATGGAGCAGCTACGCGCCGACGACGTTGTACACAGGATGCAGCAGCGTTCTTCAAGGATCTGATCCCCTCCAGCTTCCATATCTGACGTGTTGACAGGGCTAGCTAGCAGAACTAGCTGCTGCGCGTGTGTTTCGGTTAAAGCTGCACGCGAATTTTTGTGCATCAAAGTGTAGCTTTCCCTAGCTGTAGAGATTGATTTACCATGTATGCATCAAAAGACAGACGGTGACATGTAAACTTTACAAATATCGAGTTCGTAATGTAATGCGATGTAACCGATGATCTGTTCTTGCAATTGCCTTCCTGAAGACTTTGCACTCACGCATGTAATGATCGTCTCTTGCATACAAACAAATGAATTTTCTTGCATCGGCTTTTTTTTATATGAAATTTACGTCCACCGACGCCAAAGCCATATGCTTATTGAGCTAACATGTTGGCTTTTAAATCCTCATGCCTTGGAATATGCCAAATTCAAAATTCAACAAATGTATTAATAATGTCAAGGCAAATATCAAGATGCATATCAAGTGGTGACCCCTTTTAACATTAAAACTTACTAGCCACTTGTTGTACCACCAGCAAGGAATCACCAAAGACCTTAGCATGTTTCACCTCCATGGAATGCAATATCTCCAAGCCGAATAAAAGAACTTCACATTCGACTTGAATGTTGGTGCAAATATAATTTTAATCGGCTTGATGTCTCAAACAACACCATTGTAAAAGAATAATAATTATGCCAATACCTTGGCCTTTTTGCAAGCCAATTAATTGAAATAAAGCCTCCATAGGGTAGAAAATAGGTAATTGATCTCATTTTCTAAATCAATTCAATGCTCAACAATTAAATTGATGAGGATTTGACTTTTCAAAATACACAATGGTTCAAGAGCCAAACCACAGTCAATTAATGTATGTGCCCATTCACTAATCCTTCTACTACTAAAGATTGGCTGATGTAACATGTGCTTAATAACATCGGCCTGGCAAGCCATCAAGCGTGTATTAGATCAATTAATGTTTCAATTCAGCACATGCATAGTACAGCGAAGCATAATTCTAAAATGGGCATACCTTATCTTAGGAACAAGGAGACATCAACCTTTTGTCTTCTTGAGTCAACACAACACCGATACACCCTCTTCGACAATAATATATAATGTGAATGGAGCTCCACTCCTAGATGCATAAAGAACCGGTTGTGTTGATAGAGAATTCTTGAGAAGCGTGATTAACTTAATCTATAATCGGCTTCTAAATTTTGTCCTGCATACGTCGGCCGTGGTCTAATGCCAAAACCCAATGCCAATTTGCTCACATGGGTTGGCCGACACAATCCCTTGTCCAAACAAAATTTACACTACATGATGATATGGAGCCGATCATCAATCAGCTCTAGAGAAATTTGAACAAAGCCTCCTCTAATGACTCAAAACCATTAAGGTCTCTCCTTGACAAGCAAATCATATCATCATGCCCCCAAGCAAAGGGGCATCTGCCGTGGTATAAGCCGATGAGTCTGCATGGACGATCTCAACTTCATTATTCACCCACTGAATGAGGAACTGGTGCAAGCTAGAAGGCACACATTGATTGCTATGAATCCATTCGCGCCTAAGAATCAAACTGTAGCTCCCTTGCACCTCTGCAACAAAGAAGACGGTGGCCAACGTTTTGCTCCCGATAGTAAGTTTCATCAACGCAAATCCCTTGGCCGAAATAGAATTTTCTCCAATACCTTTGACCGTCCTCTTGGTATTAACCAGCTCCTCATCAGATCCGCCAAGCTTCTTATAAAGTGAATATGGCATTAGATTTACCGTGGCTCCATTATCCACCAACATGTTGTTGACCAGTTTGCCATTAATGAAACTCTTCACATGTAGTGGCTTGAAATGATTCATGTGGTCTGTTGGCTTCTCGAAAATAGCTTGACCTCCAGAAAGCTTCTCAACACCGGCAGGGGCCAGATCAACAACAGCGGGAACTGAATCAACTGGAGATACCCCGGAGGCACCCAGGCTTGAGAAAGTCGGCTCAGTCGACTCTGAAGTCGGCTTAGCCGACTGGGGGTTAGCAAGGACAGCAAGTAGGAGGTCGGCTCAGCCGACTAGGAAGTCAGCTCAGCCGACTTTGAGCAGGCAGCTGGTTCTTTCTTGCTTGATTGAGGAAAAATTAGATCCTTGTTGAAGATTTCTTTCCCCATCTTTGTTAGCCCTTCTTCCTTCAGCTTCTTGCAACGAGCACGCTGGAGTTTGTGCTTTTGCGTTCTTGACAAACCTAAAGGGCACCAATCGGTTGGAAATTCTTGGGAGCCGATATGCTACTTTAGGCATCATGATCATTGGCAACAGTGCCCCTTGATATTTTCTCCACATCAGATGGATCCAGATTATCAATGAGAATCGGTCCTCTCACTTTCTTTGATTGAAGCATCCTTTTGTTGGACTTGATTAGCAAGTTTAACCAAAACTGGCTTATTCGGTCCTGCCTTGTTGGAGCTCGATTGGCCGTAGCTCAATTGGCTCTAAGGGACACACCATTGCTTATTGTGAGCTAAACTAGCACACATCCTCCACCGGTGAGGATTTTGACGTATTAATGGGTAAGGAATCAACACTCCATCTTTATATGTGTGTTGCAATTTTTGTTCACAACTAGTTTGACCGATTTGAAAAATCGGTCTTGCTGATTTTTTCTGTCCACCAACATTAAAATTAGTTTGACCAACTTTTAAAGTCATCCTAATCGATCCTCTTTCAATAATAGTGTTAGTAGTTGATTTATGCTTGTCCACGAGAGTTTGGGCTTGCCCTCGAGCCTAGAAGATTTGATAGTGATCTTAAGGCTCCTTCCGATTATCATTGAACTTTCCTAGCACCACCTTGCGATCTAAAACTTTCTTTCTCTTCTTAGATTTTCTGGGCTCGCTGATTATCACATTTTTTCCCAATGGTGGAATCGGCTTGCTCCGGCCGAATCAAGATGGTCGGATTATTGATCTCTAGAGTTTTAGCCATGGAAAGTGTCTTTTTGCAAGGCAAAGGATGTGCATCTTCGTCATGCATAGCTTGCATGTCCAATTTTGCCTCTTTTGATTTCCAAAACCGATTAATAAATTTTTGTGAATCGGTTTGGGAGGCATCACATGAAGCCTCAGGTATTGAAACCATGCACGATGACTTTGAGAGCTAGACAACACCGTAATTTGAGGCAATGAAGCATGTGGTGATGTTGTCCCGTCATCGGTTTGAGAAGTACAAACCAAATTCGGCATGTATGTAGCAGAGGAAGAAATAGTGCTAACCCCTTCTGAATTGGTCCTATCGGTTTCAGGCACCGAAGAGACCAATTCGGATTTCTTCCTAAAAATAAGCTTGCCGTATTGATCAATATAATAGTAACTCAGTAAGATAACCTCTTACCAGGAGGTATAGTGCTAGCTCCTCCTGAATTGGTCCTATCGATTTCAGGCATCGAAGAGACCAATTTGGATTGACTCTTTAAAATCAACCCGTCATACTGATCAAAATAACACGGCCTCTCAGCAGAAATTTTAATGCTAACCCTTCCTGAATTGGTCCTATCGATTTCAAGTGCCGAAGAGGCCAATTCGGATTGATTATTAGAAACAAACCTGCCATGTTGATCAAGATTATAGTGAAATGGCCTCTTATATTGAGGTTGACTAAAAGCCAGGCCGATTCACTAATATGTGTAGCATGAGATGAAGTAGCATTAGGAGTACCAAACATCCTTTCCTCTAATCTATCAAAATTGGAGATAAGCTTAACCACGGTATGAAAAAGAGGAGAATCTTCGCAAACCCATGTGCCTTTACCTCATCTATTGTTGTAGGCTTGACGATGCTCTCCTGACCTATTGGACCGGTGAACTCACCGTTGCGACCGTTGTTCCACATCTTGAAAAGGGGATCAAGACCAGATGTTATCGGCCTTTTGGGTCAAATGTAATGGTAATGATAAACACAAGAAGGATGGATTGGAACCAACAAATTGGCTAGGTCAGAAAGATCGGCTATAAGAGATAGCCAAACAATCGTCCCCAACGGAGTCGCCAAAAAGTGTGTTGACGCTTAATTAGGTCACACACTCGATAAGGAGCTAGATTGCTCGATGTAGGACCTAGCTGATTTTCATATTGGCCGGCGCCTAGGGGATGTCCACACCTGGACCTTATGCCTCCAGCGATGAGCGCGATACACAAGACACATCGCCGCAGGAGCCTCGCCGGGAGCGCGATACGCAAGACACGCCGGCGAGGTCTCTTGAGACCCGAAACCCCACACGTCCGGGAGGGACCTGTTGGGGCGTGCAGCTGCTATGGGTTGCTCTAGCTGGCCTGACCGCTCTAGAGCTTCGCCGTCATCGATCCACCGTCCATGCAGCGCCGACGAAGAACAGAATGAGGAGAAGTAAAGAGAAAGATAGGGTAAAAGAGAGATAATAGATTGTTTTTTTTTGTACGATTGTGTGTGATGGACACTTTAATGAGCCGTGGACCTTATATTTATAAGGTGGGGGTGGCCTTATCCCACAATGAGTCGAAACCCCTTCCAAATCACGTTAAAACGTGCTTAGATCCGTTCTGGACCTGACAAAGTCGGCTAAGCCGACTTCCACGGGACCGGAGTGTTGTTTTCGGGCTGAAAACATGGGGAGTCAGCTTAGCTGACTTGGTGACTCTACTAAGCCGACTAACACTAGAAAATTCCAAGTGAAAGTCTTCTAAAATTCATAATTAATTCATCCGGACTCCAAATCAGACGAACCATATATGTTTTTCGATCAACTCACAAGAGGAATGCAATGGTGAAGTCCGTTCTAGCATTTGAGGAAGTTGATCAAATCGGCTTAGCCGACTCTGGCTAGATCAGGCCCCGATAAAGCTGTTTTCTTCGCCCAAGCTCCAAATACGATAATCCAAGTATCCTTTCTGGCCATCTTGAACGATAGAAACATGATGGAGGAGTCTATTATGCACTTTGGACACTTTTGAGTGTCAACAATATGCATCATATATAGCCTATGTTTCATTCTGCAAGGCACATATGGATTCTCCTTCTCCAT